AACCCTGGGGTCCTTCTGGAATGTTCTCTCTCACAGGGTCTATTGGTCATCCTGATGGACTCGTCTGCTAAACAGGCCACAATCCTCCGCGCTAAGGGCACACCCCACATCCTAACAACAGGGAAACGATGCCCGGCATTGGAGGTGTGTCGCCGGGCTGCCAGCCACGGTGAGTGCAGCCCCTCTCCGCTTGGACACGCTTGGCTGTTCCTTTGGAGGCATGACAGGCAGCGGAACTGTCAAGAGCCAGTCAGCAAGTCACTTCAGGACCGAAACCTCTCCTTCACACCTGCCAGTGAGATCCAGAAAGCACCCAGACTTGTTGGCTGCGTGCAGGAGCTGGGACAGCCCCCGGGGACAGCAGGGCTGCGGGCTTGGGTGCACCGCAGGGCAGCACGTCAAAGCTGACTTGGAAGAATGGACATGAAGACATTTTAGGATGACTTTATTTCACTCATAGTTTCCTCTTTCACGAAGGCACAAGAGAAGTGTGACTTTAAAAGTCTGTACATCCAGTGCTGGCTGGTGTGGCTCAGTGGACTGGGCGCCTGCAGACTGAAAGGTTGCCCGTTCACAACCCCGAGCAGGGCACATGTCTGGGTTTCCAGCCGGTCCCCGGTTGGAGACGTGCAAGAGGCAACCAATCGATGTTTCTCTCCCTCTCTTCTTCCCTTCCTTCAAATAAAAATAAAATCTTAAAATTAAAAAAAAGTCTGTACTTCCCGTGAGTATAAGTAAAAGCTAAGGGATGAGAAAGCATGTGTCCGACTAACCAGCAGGAGCCCCCGTGACAGGACAAACGGTAAGGCTACGACCCACCGGTGGCGCCGTCTCACAGTGCTGGGACACAGCAAGTGGACCTGGCCACCTCTGCCCTGGTCTGAGCCCTGTGTGGCCACGGTCCCTGGCGCCCCTGCTGTTCCCTCCTGCCTGCGGCAGGGAGGTGGGAAGAGGTGCTCAGGGCAGTCCTGTCTTTGCCACTTATCCGTGGCCTCTCTGTGCCTAGTTTTAGCCACTGAAGACACACAATGGTGCCTGCATGTTGGATGATCGCAATTACATTAAGTAATATATGTGGAGTACTGAAGTGGCCTAACGCATGTTAGCTACATAACAGCCAGAGCTATTCTCTTCAAAGATAAATCAGATCATGTCACTCCTCATTCAAAACTCTTCAATGTCAACTAGGAAGGAAGGAAAGGAGGAAGGAAGGGAGGGAAGGAGGGAGGCAGAAAGGCAGACCTCCTGAGGCCTCCCATCCCAAAGAGGTGAACATCGGAATTCCTAACCTCAGCCCTCTATACACCCCCCAACTAGTCTCGCTGCCTGACACCCACCCCTGCCATCAGCAGCACAAGACCACACCGGGGACCCAAGCCCAGGCTCCTCCTGCCTGCACCAGGCCCCAGGGCAGCACCAGCTCCCCCCATCTTCTGAGCTCCCTCTGTCCCGCCGCCCCCCACACACACACACACTGCCCAGCCTGGCCATAGGACTTTAGGTGGGGCTTAGTGTGCCCTCCTCCCCCATAATGTGAACCCCACACAGTGGGCAGGAGCTACCCACCCATGCTGTGCTAGCTCCCAGGTCTCCCGCGCCCAGAACAATACCTCGCACCTGGTCCATTCCCGTGAGGGGACCCTGCAAGTGAAACGAAACCACCCTAGCAGCAAGCAGGGCTTCGCTGCACTGCCAATAAAAATACCAGGCACCTCCGAGCAACTTCCAGCCCCCCTGCCCCCGCTTGTCTTCCTCTGAAATTCATCACAAAGACCGGAGGCCTAGAACCAAAGTCGTTCTCTTTGTATATCCCTAGAACTCCCCCCATAGTGCGGGTGGAGAAGAGCACCCAGCACACTCATCAGATTTCACAAGAGGTGAGGATTCTGATGGTCGGGCCCAACAGCAAGCGCTGCAGCGAGGCCACGTGAAGCCCTCTGCTGGCCACTGCACCTGCCCTCCCCCCACTCCACGTGAAGTGTGCACCTCAAAGGAAATCACTGGGGGAGTGAGGAAACCGAATGACTCCAGTGTACAATTTGTAAACAAAATCCTCACGACTGGCCTTTCCTACCTCCCATATTATGAATATATTTTAAAGGGTTTTTCTGAACACCACCATGTTTAAGAAACACCGTTTGGTGTCTGTCACCAAATTAGAGATTTAGAATTTCACATTTTAGAAAACTGACACCAAAAAACCCATTCAGTTTCCCATAAAAGTGGACCTCTCCAAGCTTTTCGGCTTCATACCAAAGACCTATAATTTTTCTCCGAGTTTTTAATACGCTGGAAAGTGTATAAGTTCACCTATTAATCTCTGAAGTGTACTTTCTAGCTATCTTCTACCTATTGAAATAATAGGCCTCAGTCCTAAGTACTGACACAGCTTGTCACAACACTCAAGGGAATAAAGCCCAGCTCTTAATAAGCCTTATAGCAAAGGAATTTTGGTGATTAATAAAAAGCGATTAGCAGGTTTTGCTGCACCCATGTATAAAAACAGCCCCTGCAGCACTGTCTGTTATAGCAAATACTAAAAACGACATTAAGACATTAACGACAACTGTGCGTACCCCACTCTGACCACTGTGGGGAGAACCCGCAGTCACAGCAGCTGGAGGAGGTGAGTGGCTGGGTGTGGAGTAAAATCAGGTTTTATCATCTTTTTGTACCTTCAGAATGTACTGTGTGTGTACTATTTTTAAATCTATAAAAAAATGGTAACTCTATACACTTAAAAATTTTATAACTAAAATTGTAAATACTATTTGAAAAATATAGTGCCTCAAAAGTGCTTAATAAAATGAACTGCCAGCTTTGGAGTTTTTTTGGTCTCTGCCTACCCAGTTCATGTGTGTGCCCCCTGGACAAAGGCAGGGGGGGGCCTATCACACAGCAGGCCAAGGACAAGTATTAACCAAATGTATTAAGTTTGCTTTATTCACTCACAGACAAATGTAAGTTAAAAGAATTTTCTTACTCCAAAAATCAAAAAGCGCTCTGACTGCTATTACGACATATAAATTTACAAAGGAGTGAATTAGCCTTATGAGCCCAGAAGTTTTTGTCAGTGATGTCATTAGCTAATTTTCTCCTCGCTCCTCGCGCTGACTCCCTGAGCACATCAAACCTCGGATATGCGTGTGCTGAACTTCTCAGGGCGGGGCCAGTTTTCTTTTCCCCACTGCCCCCTGCAGAAAGGCCTCCTCTCTCTCCTTCCAGTTATCTCTTCAAATTTGTTGATGTAGCTGAATGCATTCAGTCTCGGGAACCCTCAGACATCTAACAGGCATTACTCAAAGACCATGCATTCCTTTCAAAGCTGGCAGGCATCCTTGACCTCCATCTCTGGGCAGAATGGGGCACCCAGCTCAGGGCGTCTCATCAACTGTTTACTAGGTGCCCAAGAGAGAGGCTCTTGCCCTCTGAAAGGACCCAGCACAGAGGGGCCGCTGATTCTCTTACCCAGGGCAGAGCACTATCACCCAACTCTTTGCCTTTCCCCCCCTTCTCCCTTTCCCCTTTGGGAAGCCCTCAGCGAGCAGAGGAACAAGTAGCCGCAGACCCAGAGAAAAGGTGGTAATCAAAGATGCGTCGCAGGAACTGTTCTGAAGACAGCCCAGTGTCTTGGAAAACGCAGCTCTGGATGGCATCTTTCAAAGGCATTCCACACATGAGCCAATTTAAAAGGGAACAAAAAGGATTAAATATTTCTATTCCCAAAACTTAATGATGGATGGGTCCTCTTAATCAGAGGACTAAGAGTAAAGAGGCAAGTTTGACATCAGGCCACTTTTCATTACACCTCGAGAATGGAACGCTAACCACTATGGATTGTGTAAGAAGGAAACAAAATGCCTTCATCATAAGTAAAACCAAAACGGGTTGGCTAAAAATATTAACTGCGAACCAAACAAAACGGTGCGGGTCTCCCACGGATATATCGGGGCTAGAACACGTTTTATGTTATCCGGCGTGTAAATCGGGACTCCAACAAGATTAAGCGTCCACAGCCCAATTTGACACCTTCCCTCCGACCCATCCACAACCCGGTAATTTTCCCACTGCAGATGTGAACACGTCAGAAGTCATCTCGGGCCCCCAATCGTCCCAGATTGCTCCGGATTGCTCCAGACGTCCGGCAGTAGCGGGAACTTCCCCGCCCTCGGCCGCCCGATGCACAGAGCATCCCGCTCGGACTCGGCGCCCTCCGGAGCGCGTGACCTTATCCTGGACGCAGCGTCCCCTCCCCGGGGGCTCCCTCTGGTCTCCCCGCGATTCAGAGCATCCCGCGCAGACACGGCGCCCTCGGGAAGGGACGCGGGGCCAACCGCGGCGGAGCCTTATCCCGGGGGCGCAGACTCATCCTGGGCGTAGAACCTCAACCTAGGGCGCAGCCTTATTTCGGACCCACAGCCTCCCCTCACCCCGGACGCAGCCTCATCCCCGGCCGAAGCCTTTCCTCCCCGAGGCAGAGAATCCAGAGCAGACGCGGCACTCCCAGGGTGGGGACAGGGCTGTCCCCCGCGCAGTCTCCCCTCCACGGGGGCACAGATCCATCCCGGGGCGCAGCTTCATCCAGGGATGCAGCCCCCCACCCCTCAGGCGCAGCAGCATTCCAGGGCGCAGTCTCCCCTTCATTCCGGGGGCGCAGATTCCCCTTCTCCGGGCGCAGCCTCGTCCCGAGGCGCAGTACCCCCTCCATCCCCGGGCGCAGCCTCCTCTCTCGCAGCGCAGAGCATCCGGCGCAGACGCGGCGCCCCAGAGAGGAGACGCGGGCCGTCCCGGGATCAGCCTCATCCTGGGGTGCCGTCTCCCTACCCGGGCGACCCGGCCTGTAGCACCCCCGGACACGCAACCTGCAGCACTGCGTCCCGCTGGAGCCGCACTCCCAGCCTGGCCTCCCCACCTGCTCCGCGGCGCTTACATAAACGCGGCTCTGGCGGTTTGTGTCCGCCCAAGGTGTCGGACCCCCACCCGCCCCCGTCTCACCTCACCTCAGCCGCTGGCTGCTCTGCTCCGCGCGCCGCGCCGGGGCTCGCACCGCTCCACCGCCCGGGGCTGCGGCGCGCGGGCCGTGGCCTGGCGCGGCCCCGAGCGCGCCCCCGTGCGCGGCCCGACTGGGCCGCCGCCACAGCCTCCGCCTCCGTCCACCCGCCCCCGGCCACGCGCACGCCGGGGAGCGACGCCCGGACGCAGGACGTGCGTGTGTGCGCGCACGCGCGGCGCCGAGCAGACCTCTGCCAGTGGTCGGCCCAGGTTGCGGAGCCCGAGCCAGGGCTGGGGATGGAAAGGGGAGACCTGCAGGGGCGAGGGTGACCTAGCTTGGGGAGCTGGGAGACCGGAGATTCTCGGGGAGGTCCCGCTGTGAACTGGATGTGCAAACGCGTTCCGGCTGGTCCACGATCCCGAGAGCCCTGGGTGTGCAGTGGGAAATCAGGGTCCCCGCACTCCAAGGGGCTTCTCCGTTTCCTGTGGCACTCTCAGTGACATCAGAAGCAAGTCCAAATTACCAAAGTTAATGTGGTTGTTGAGTTGGCTGGTTTTGACAGGAAACGCATTTTAAAGCCTTTTTATGCTGCATACAATAAACTTACTTTTATATTATATGGTTATATACCAAGAAACGTTTGCGTGCAATAAGCATATGTGGAAATGCATTTCTGAAGACTGGAATAACTCAAGGCTGCAATTCCATTCAGAACAGTAAATAAAGTTTAATAAGGAAAAACTTGAGCATGGATGCTGAGAGTGGAAGAGTGGGTAATAAGCCACAAACAGTTCGTTTTTTGGTGATTCACTAGGAGAACTCAAGGATGTCAACCTTTAAAAAAAAACAGCCAGTTATTTTACCAGGAAAATGGGTTTATTCGGGAATATCAGAGGTACTGCATTTCCGGACTGCAAATTCCAGGGGAATCGGAGGCAAGTCCAGAGAACAAAGGAGTGTCACTCAATGGGGAAAAAGAAGGAAGTCAGGAGGGGCAGTTTTAAGGGGAAGTCCATTGGAGGGGAGTGAGAGTTAAGGGTGGTGGTGACTTCTCATTGGCTGAGTGTGGTGGTCTCTCATTGGCTGGGCTGTTGCTGAGTCAGGAAAAAATCTTCCTTCTGCCTCCATAGTAAAGTGGGTTTTTTCCTGTTGGGGACTGCAAGGTAGCTTCTTCCTGCTGGAATCTGCAGATGGCACTGAGTGGTATATGAGGGCTCCCTATTTGAGGGCTTCCCACCCCAATTTTAATGAGGTTTTCTTATTCATTTTTACAAAGGGTGGAGAGAGGGTCAGAGCACACCAAACCTGGTGCAGGGTTGGGGCAGTGGGTGTAAAGGCTGTATTGCCAAGTCCAGTCCAGCTGCTGCCACTTCTTCATGGAGGAGCCCTAGGCATCTGTCAGGACCTCTGCCTGTTTCCTAAAGTGTGTGCTGGAGAAGACTCACGGGAGGAGAGCCCAGTGTGGAGCCAGGGACTTGGTCAGTGCTCCATCGGTGTGAACTACTCCTCTCATACAGGAGTTGTGTAACAACTGAACGTGACATAGAAACTCAGTGATCCAGAGCATAAATTAACCACAGGGGAAAGTATTACAGAAGGCCAGTCACCTGCCTCAGGTTGCTGTCTGAGGGAAAGGAAAAACTGTCTTTGCGGTCGGCCAGAGAAAGAACCCATGACCCTGCCTGAGGGCCAAGGGCCAGCTACAGTATCCAAGGGCCACTGATTGACAACTAAATAAAAATTGAGACTCCTGGGACACCCTCTGGGGAGTCATCCTGAATAAGGGAGAAGGTGCACAAGGAACTCATTTGGGCATAGAGGAGTCATTTGCTCACGATCCCGTGGGCCAGCAGCTGGAACCGCTCAACTCTGCTTTTGGAGGGTGTGGGCTGGGCCTTCTCAGATGGGCTCCGGTCAGGGACCACGGGTGGGCCATGTGTCACCCATGGTCAGCAGGCTGGCTGGGGTTTTCCTCATGGTGGCAAAGTTCAGTGCACGGGCTTTTCCAGCCTCTGCACCATATTTACTGAAGTGTCATTGACCAAAGCAAGTCACTAAGGGACGAATGACTCATGGGAGCCCATCCCTGTGGCCATCTTCCACCAGCCTTCATTTAGTGTCATTTAACTCAGGGAACGGCATGTGATTGCCCTTCAGTTGGAGCTGAAGGTGTGAATCTCATCCTCTCCTGCAGCATCAGTGGAGAACAGGTGCAGTATGACCAGGCTCCTTCATACTGCTCCTGTCAGCTGTCAGCTGCTCTGGCGACCAGCAAGAAGCCCAGGATGGCCCCTTATAACTGTACTTCCTCAGATGCCCTTATCTCCAGAAACAAGCTTATCATGGCCTTCCCTAACCTGGGTGAATGGCACACAGAACGTGCCTCCATGTGCTGATCAGGTGGTAACACGGAAGTGGAAAGAGGATGTTTGTTGGAAATAGATTGAAGGAGAACTGGTGATAGGTTGAGCAAAGGGGTGTGGGGAGGGAAGGATCAGGACTCACCCAGGAATCTGGCTGCATGTGCTGGGGGTGATGGTGCCACATAACGAGGTGGGAGAAGACCAAGAGACGCCTGGGAGAAGCCAGGAGACCCTTCTGGCTGTGTTGAGCCTGCCCCCCCCCCCCATTCAGACATCCAATGGCTGTGTTGGGAAGAGAGCTGGACATGAAAGATCGGTGTCCACAATCAAGAATAGTACTGGGTATGCACGTTTGAGAGCCTTGAAAATAGAAACAGTCACCTAAATAGAGAGGAGGGAGAAGAGGGGGAACTTGGGCCCAAACCCAAAGAACCTCAGCCATCAGAGGGGCACACAGTGGGGTACACAGTGAGTGAGCAGAGGAGACCAGGAGAACCCAGGCAGGTGCAAGGGACCCCGCGGGAGTGTTTCAAAAAGAAAAGTCAGTAAAATGGTAAGAGTACAAATGGAGTGAGGAGAGAAAATCCACTGCCTGTGGTGGCAGAAGTCGCTGTGACTAAATATTCAGGGAGCGCCAGTGACGGATTTGACTGACTTTGTCAAAAGTCAGTGGCTGTGTTCGAGAGAACAATCCTGAACAATGAGGCTGAGGTAACCTTGACTTTAGAACCTTAAGGGGGAAAAGTAGGGGTCAACCGCTCTCATAAACAAAATCTAAACAAGTTATCATAAAATCCTAAACAGAGCATGCAGCGAAACAAAATCCAGTCATATATAAAATGCTATCAAGAATATGTGACCAAGAATATAACTCTGGCTTAACACTTATGAATCTATGAGTGTGAATTGCTGCATCAGCACGTCAAAGAACACCTGTGTGAGCCTCAACAGGTGCAAAAAATAAAAAAGCTTCTAATAAGACCCAGCACCACTCATACTGAGAAAAACAAGCTCTTAGGAAAGCAGAGCTAGAAGGAAACTTTCTTAACCTGACTAAGGGTGCCTACCGATGCCTAAAACAAACATCAGACCCATGGTGAAGCGTTAGGGACACCCCTGCGTTGGGAAAAGAAGAAGGATGTTCGGCATTACAGTACAGCCTAAACAACAGGCGCCACACAGCAATGGGCAAAAACATACAAAGATTCAAAGGGGAAAAGGGAAAATCACAGGTAAGACCATTACATGTGCAGAAAATCAAAAATAATCTCGAGCTCAATTATTAGATTTAATAAAACTCTAGCAAGATTGCTGAGTATAAAATCCACACGCATGCAAACCAATTTCTATACATCAGCAACAAACAACCTGTAATTTAGAAAAATCCTTTTTACAAAATTGCAACCAAGGTTTCAGTTAAGGAGACATCCAACAAAAGAAGTACATGACCATTAAGGAGAAAAGTCTTTTTTAAAAGTTACTGAAAGAGCAAGAGAATGTAGAGACAATTGCTTTAATAAATACGAAGACCTCGGTGTCACAAAGATGTCACATCTCCCTGAATTACCCGGAGAGTCAGCGGAATTCTGACCAACTTGTCAACAGGGGTTTGGATGGATGTCGACTGCTTCTAAAACACATAACAGGAAGGCCAAGGACCCTGAGGAGCCAAGACACTCTCTCCTAAAGAAGAAGGAGCGGGACTCGCCATGGCCAAATACGAAGACATACTTTAAGTTACAGTCAACCAAGCCATTTGTTACCAGCCCAAGGATGGACAAACTGACTAATGAAACACCATAGAAAGTCCAGAAACAGACCACACGCATTTTTATACGCGTCAGACGAGGCGCTGCACATCAGTAGGGGAAGGAATGACTTCAGTAGGTGACGCTGGGACACTTGTTTCAGCATTTGGGGGGGAAATGGGATTAAGTAGGTACCTTGCACGCTACTCATGACTGTCCAGATGAATTAAGAGAGACAAAACTCTTAAACTTTTAAAATATAGGCAAATATCTTCACGACCTTGAGGAGGAAAGGTTTCTTGAGGTAGAAAAAGTACTAACCATACAAGACCGATAAATTTGATCATATTAAAATTAAGAACATCTGTTCATTATAAGATATAATAAAGTAAAATGGCACAACAAATAGGGAGAAGATATTTGCAATATGGATAACTGTCTGACGACCAGTACCCAGGATGTGTAAAGAACTGCATACCCAGTAAGAAAAGGCAAACAATTTAATGGAAAAATGGACAAAGGACTCGAACAGCAGAGGAAGCGTAAATGGCCAGTCGTCATGTGAGAAGATGTTCCGCCTCCTCAGTAACGGGAAAATGCAAGTTCCGATAGCAATGATGCTTTTACACCTACCACGTTGGCAATCATTTAAAGGACCGACAGTATCAAGTGTCAGAGAGGAAATGGGTCACCAGAATTCTTAACATTTGCCAATGGGAGCCTAATTTGCAGCCACTTTGGAAAGCCCTTGTCTCATAAAATTGAGTATTTGTGTAACCGCACTAGCCAACGAGCTCTCTCCTAAGTACACACCCAGGAAATATGCTCCCATGGGGCGTCAGGGGACCGGCTGCCGCTGTGTGTAATGGCCATGCTCACAATATCCAGCTACCCACTCACGGGGGAAAGACAAACTCACTGGGGTAAACCCACGCACTGCGCACGTTGCGGAATGGTGACTGACATTCAATGACTCAACCACAGCAACACCTGTCTTGGGAGTAATTTGATTGTTTACTTGGAAGTAAACAATCTTGGAAGT